CAAAGCCGTCAAACTAAAGGCTACACCGGGATGAGACATAGAGTTGGATGATCGCTTAGTGGCGAACCAACTCGCTAACCCCACAATTTGGTAGACTTCACCAACATCAAAGCTGCACTTGCTACTAGAATGATAAAGAAAAGTAACAAAAAAGTTCTGAGAAGAAAGACAATAAAAGGGATGACAAGTTCCAGTTTTCCGGCCACTGGTAAGGTAATTGTGGTTTGACTAGCCACCACTAAAGGGAAAGAGTTAACCACCACCTCTTCACTACTAGCAAGTTTCTCCTCTTGCTTGATCGTCGAGCTCTTCTCATCTCCAAGGGTTTCATTAAATATTCTCATCTCCAAGGGTTTCATTCATATTTTTGGCCCTGTCTCTCTGCGCTTCCAGGACTTTTCCTCATGGGGCTGAGTTATACCTTTATCTCTAGAAAGCATTTCTTCCATTATAGAACATTTTGTCTCCTCAAAACTCAAACTGCTCGTTTCCAGAACATTCTTAATCCCTTCCTCCCGTGAGTTGGTTCCGCTGTCACTCGGGATCAGCCACTTATTACCGAGATGCACTCATCCTCTTCTCATATTTGCACGCAGCCAATCCCCACATGGCTTCTTTCCAGTCGAGGATCCAGATTGAGAAGAAAATGGACAAAAACGATCAACATGTCCCAAGATTCCACAGTTGAAGCAGAACTTTGAAAGACGCTCATACTTGAACTCCGCCCAGAACCAATTATCCCCTTCTTTCTTTATTTGAAGTCTGCGAAATATTGCTTTCTTGATATTCATGGTCACCCGAATCCGCAAGATGGATCTCCAAGCACCTCCCAGTGTACGCTCATCAACATCAATGAACGAACCAATAGTGTTCCCAATACCACGTGTAACTTTCTCGGTCACAAATCTTAGAGGGAGGTTATAGACCTGAACCCAGAAATCAACACTATCCAGTGCCACCTCATATGGCCTATCCACCTGCCCTAAACGGCGTATTACTACCAAATTTTGTTTGAAGTTCCTAGGTCCGTCCTGAAGAACCCGATTGATATCCCCTTCATGGTAGAATTGAAGCAGAAATTTTGAGTCCCCCATTTCATCAATTGAAACACCTTTGATGGGCCTCCAGACCATAGCCATGGTTGCACGAAATGCAAAGGGACGGATAGATTTGTCCGTCACAATACTCGCCACCGCCAAGAAACGTGGCACTGCCCTCACTCCCTCTCCTCCCACGACATCACTGTCAAAAACCAACCCCCTATCCTCTTCTTCCTCTATAGTCATTCCACTGTGACCCTTGATCAATAATTCCTGATCATGCCATCCTGTATATGATAATAATCACAAAGCCACCAAAGCTTCCTATAGGAATGTTCGAAGCACTCCAGAAACTCAAGAAGGAAATATAGACTCTCCTTTCCGGAAATAACAATAAATAAAACAAACAAAAACCGTCCAAGAAGAACGTACCCAAATCCTCGGCAAGCAAACAGAGCGCCGGACCCAAAAATCACGAAACGAAATCAACAACGCTGAAATTGAAAACGCAAAACCTGGATTCAATTAAGGTAAATCATCTCCAGCCAGTCCGGTCAGAGGAAGGACGACCAGCCAGCCCTTCTTTGCGCTCGCTAACTCATCCTAATTGCACGGCCTCCATCGATCGGCACTGTCACGAAGTCACCGACTAAACACTTTTATTCATAAGTTAATGGCGTTTTGGATGTATGTTAAGTGTTTTGTCAATATATATGGCTTTTCGAAAGAAAGATATAATGTGGATCAGAAATGATTCATCTTTGCACCGTTTCTGGTTTTACATTAGAATTCTCGTTACTTTTCATACTATAAAATGATCAAGATTTCATATATCTGAACTAGAATCATGTTGAATGTTACACATTGTGCCACAAAATTTGTTGGTACTTGTCTGGAATATAATACTATTGTGTTAAAAATGAAGTATAGATCATGTTCATGATTTCATTCTTTAATACAATTTTATTTAATAATATGATTCTATATATCCAACATTCATTATATTATGGATAAAAAAATTCAAAGAGTCTGTTGGTTTGAAACTAATTTATCGTGAATTGACATATTTTTTCATGTATAGACTTATATTCAAGATAAAAGTCTTGCATCTATTATGCTCATTCTACATACTAGAACACTTGTCATATCTTTGACTTTTAACTTTGGACAACCATTATTTACACCAAGTAAGAAAATCATCAATGTCAGTTTTCAAACAAAGTGTAGTAATCAATGTCTAACTATAAGGATTTGCTCCATCACAACTTCGTGGTTATTTATAATTTATACTATGCATAGTAATTATAGTAATATTTATGTCCATTAGTTCTACTTAGGTAATATTTATGAAATAATCTCTAGTTTTTTTGACCACGTAGCGGGGGCACAATTTTTATTTTTAAGTACTAATCTTAAATTTCGGGGTCGGAAGCGGGGGCACTTGCCCCCCTAGGACCCCCCTAGGTCCTCCACTGGTTGTGACCCAATTGGATTTGTCAAGGATGTTTTTACTTGCATTAAAGTTTGTTGGTTTTGTTTAATCTGGTTTTGACCAGATCTCATTTGGTTTGATTTGGTCTAGTCTGGTAAATGTCTGGTCTCGATGTATTTTATAACAATGGAAGTCTAGTTTGGTCAGGTCTATTTAAGTCTGGTCCGGTCTGATCTTGTCTGATCTGGTCTGTTTAAATCTAATCTAGTATGATCTGGTCTGATCTGGGACTGAAAACAGTCCAAGTAAAAACATCTTACCGGTAACTAGTAATATATTTTTCCGATAAACATTACTTTGATAATATTGATGGGAAACTCTTAATAATTGACACATTTTAAAACCACATCAATATCTGAATCATTATATCCTCCCTCGCAAGGGATAGCTTCATTAAAAACACCCATAGAAGCTAGAGAATCCCATACAGAATGAGTATCTGCATTGCTATTTGATTCTGAAAGTCCTAGTTTTTTCCCTCATCAATGTGTGGCAAAGATAGGTTACCCAGGGCAGAGGCAAGAAGCCTCTGAAATTCAAAAAGAAGAAACTGAGAAAGAGAGTTCACCCCGTTTGTCAAAGTAGTCTGGAAAAAATCTTTAAGGTTAGCAAAATCATAAGATTCAGGTTTTTCTTCAACACTGTGAATACGATCAGATGAAATCAAACCCAATGAGTGATCAGTAGAAACGAGATGTTCAATATCATCTGAAGTAATGCACCCGAAATGGAAACCGTAGTTTCGCAGGAGTGAGGAAAATCCGCATCAAAAGATGGAAGATCCAAATCAAAAGAGGAACCCCGGCCCTTATATTTGAACATTCCTCACGTGTATGTTCAATTGTCAATTTTTGAGGAACAACTACATTCATCAACTTAATTGCTTTGGTAATCCCTGTAAGAAAAATGTTGATCCGACGTCCATTCCGTTCCTCAGGAATAAATAAAGAATCACCTTCCTTCTCATTTTTTCGGACAAATCCTCCAAAGAAATTAGCATTCTACATACTAATAAGAGAATTTTTCAGCTCTAACCTATTGAAAGATCTATTTCCAGAAAACATCTTAATTAGAGAGTCTTAAAGCCAATTAACCCGAGCAAGAATGAGTTCCAAAACGGATGTAATTCCATGTTTAATTTCAGATATGCGAACGCCCGTGCTACTACTAATTTTAAATTGAAAAAGTTTACTCTCAATTGAAAAATCAAATTGTTTTTCTGCTATTCCAGAATTCTAAAGTGAAGGAGCGAGCCTCCTGCCTTGTAGAATACCAAATTTGCCTAGTTGAAGGAAAGGATTCCAACACCTGGGTCGTGAGTTCTGAATCTGCACGCGTTCTCCAAGCCATCTCCTTCCCATCTAGCTGTTCCATGATCGCTGTTACTTGCTGTTAGTAGGGGTTAATTTAGACATATAAGTTATTTTTATTCATTTTTATTTAATTAGTGGTTGTGAATAGAAATTTAGAGGCTTTGAATGAAATTACGCTAAAAATTAAGACCTAATAAGAGTTTAGTGACTTTTAATCTTGTATTACAAAAAACCATTCTTATAATGATACACTATTCATAGTATCAGTTTAGAAAGTGAGAAAAGTGTGTGAAGAGTGAAATACACTTAGTGTAGAAGTGTATTGGTGAGGATTGATTTTTTGTAATAGTTGAGTGTGAGAGTTTGCTCCTCCTATTGTAATTCTGTTCTTGATATAGAATAGAAGAATTTTCCAATCCCAACAAGTGGTATCAGAGCGAGGTTGAGTTTCCATACACTGTTTTCTCATTTTCAGATAAATTTCTACAGGTTAGAAAATCGTGATTTTTCAAGTTGCTCGAAATCAGGATCTGATCATACCGTTAGATTCGTCTCGGCGAGACGAGAAATCTGGTATTTTTGGGGATTTTTTTGGCCACCAGAAGAGGTCGTACGCGCCGCCGGAAAACTGCCTGCATCATCACTGCGTCATCACGCAGTCCAGAGGAAGAAGACGATCCACGTCAGCTGCCACATCATCGCCACGTTGGACCACGCCAGCGACACGTGGTGCCGAGTCATCCGCCACATCATCCACCTGAGCCGTCCGCTGTGAGCCACGTCAGACGCCACGTGGCTACACGTCATCGCCACGTCAGCGAGGGAGCAGAGCCACGTCATTCGCCTGCTGGGCTGCAGGCTGGGATGCTGCCTGAACCGGACCGAACCGGTTCGTGCTTTTGGAGGCCGGTTCACCCGTTTCTAGACCAGTTTTGGACGAGGTCAGACCGGTTCTTACCATTTTCGGCCATTTCGGATCCAACGGTGAGCTCCGTTTGTCCAAATTCGGCTTCGAAAATAAGGTACGAGATATATAGAGCGTTTTATTATGGATAAATCATCGTCGGACACCATGATTGCGCTCACATCCACAAACTACAATATGTGGAAGCCTCAGATGGAGGATTTGCTAAATTTGAGGGATTTAGCGGATCGTCTTGATAATAATGGTGTGAAACCGGATAAAAAGACGGATGAAGAATGGACAAAAATGAATCGAAAAACTGTCGCACAAATTCGACAATGGATAGATCATAGTGTGTTCCACCATGTTGCTCAAGAACAAAGTGCTTACACACTATGGGAGAAGCTTGGTAGCATGTATCAAGCAAAAACCGCCCGAAATAAGACGTTACTAATGAGGAGATTAGTAAACCACAAATTACGTGGGGGTATTTCGGTGTCAGAACACACCAGTCAATTCCAGGATCTTGTGAATCAGTTGACAACCACCGGATGGGTTCTCAAAGATGAAGAGCAGGCGATACTACTCTTGAGCTCTCTACCTGACAGCTGGGAGACTCTTGTTGTCACTCTCAGTAATTCTGCTCCAAATGGGAAGGTGACTATGCAGATGGTCACAGATGCCCTGATGAATGAAGAAGCCCGAAGGAAGGAAGCCGGGACGGAACAATCATATGTCCTCATATCAGAAACTAACAGACGAGGGGGAGGCAGAAATGGAGGAAGAAGTCGAGGTCGAGGTAGAGGTCAAGGTCAAAGTAGAGGAAATTCTCAAGTTCGCGGAAGATCACAAGAGAGAGGTATGTCCTTTGAAAACAATACTTGGTTCGAAGGATATTGCAATTACTGTAGTAATTATGGATGATGGATAGTCTACCCGGGGGTATATATCCGAAGGGTTATTACGGGGAGTAATCTAGAGAGAAGTCAGAGTAAGTGAATAAAAGTAGAGAGAGAGAGTGTATTCAGTATGAATGCCGTTTTCAGCGTGTTATGACTTGGTTACAAATGGGGAAAAGGGGTGCTATTTATAGTAGCAATAAATGCCGGGCAAGGACACGTGTCAAGCGCTCATTGGCCGAGGGGTCACCTCAACTGGTTGGCGCTGGCAGCCGCATGTGGCTGCATTTAATGCGGCTGTTGGATGGGACGTCTGTGCGGGGTACGGTGATCTGTACGCATGTGAGGCGGATATCTTGTCGAGTGAGACACCTTCGGCTATAGAGCAGTAGCCGAGGGCTCTTCCACCCGATGGCACCCCTGGTGCCAAGGGCTCACAGTGCCGAGGGCTGCTGTTTTCGCCGTTTTCTCCCGGTTTCTTAGTTTGCTTGAGAAACCCGTTCTGTGAGAATTTGGAGCCTTCGGCCAGGGGGCCGAAGGCACCCCTGGCGCGTTGTGCGGACTGCTTGGTACTCTGGGCGCTGTGATTTGGGCCTGTTGGGCCTGTTGGGCCTTTGATGGAGCAGTAGGAGTCTGTGGGCCGGGGGTTCCCGGGCCATATACTCCATCAGGAGTCCCTCACTCCTTTTGCCGAAAGGTACTTGAGGGAAAAGGAGTAACTTGTGCTTGCCCTTTGATGTTGTCCCATCGTGATTCCTGAAGTTGGTGAGGAGTTGTTGCTTTTATGTCCCTGCCGAAGGCAGTCCCTCAGTTACCCACATGTCGGGACTTGAGGGCTTGCTTTGTTGTTTGTTGGAATTTCACAGATTTTGTAATTTAATGATTTTCCCGAAGGGGTCCTCCAGTCCCCCATTCCTTGAGGCACTTGTAAAGTGGTGAAAAGGAGTAAAGTAGTTACGTTGCCGTTGTGGGCCGAAGGCTGACGCTTTTCGTTTCATTTTGGGGGGATGCCTCGTTAAAAACCTCATTAGGAAAAACCCTTTGGGAAAAAATCCTAATGAGGGAAAAAGAGTGCACCGAATTCCCCCAATGATGAATCGAAAATGTCAAACCTTGGTAAAAAATGGAGAATGGCGGGAATGCCGAAGGCTCTCTCTTCTGAGGGCTCCTGTGTTGATTAGCCGAAGGCTTGCTGTTGATGTCCTGGTGGCGCCGAAGGGGAGCCCCTCAATCCAGGGATCAAGGGCCTGCCGGATGAGGGCCCCAGTGAAGTTGTTACCGGGGGGTCCACTGTTTGTTGATTAGTTGGTGATGAAGATACCCGAGGGCTCCCATTACCTGGGTGTCATGGGTCATCCGTCAATGAGGCACTCCCCGGGGGCTACCCGGTTTTGCAGTGCTGAGGGGGAATCCCCGAGGGGTTCCCTGATATGAAGACTCGGGTTTCTGAAGGAGTGATCCCGAAGGCGACTGTTATGTGCTGTGCGGGGCACAACCCGGGGGCACTTCTGAGTGAGTGTACCCGGAGGCTATCCTTGATGAAGAGGAGTGAAGTAGAAAACCCGGGGGCTTCCAGAATATAGCCGTTGGAAATATAGCCGTTGGAATATGTAACGACAGGATATAGCCGTTGGGGGGGTGGCACACGTGGCGTGTGATGGCTGGCTGTTTGTGGGCGGCGTCACCGGTTGGGTGAAACGACGGTGTGTAATGATGACGGTCCGTCCGGAGGCCCGGAATCCAGGCCCAAGCCCGGATTCCATCGCCTATAAATACCCCAAGGCCAGGTCTATTCCCGCTGTGCGAACCCGGTTGTCTTAGCGAAGCTCTGCCAAAAACTCTAGTGAGAGAAACTCCAGCCTTCGGTCCTAACTCAGCTTTCGAGGTCAGTGCTCCCTGCCTTTCTCCTTCTAGTATAGCTGTACATTGCGCCCTCGGTTTAGGAGATAGAATTCACTAGAAACCTTAGTTCCCCCGAACCCTCGAGCTAGAGATAGAATGTCGTCTCAGAGTGACTCTCAGGACATCTCGAGGACGCCCTCGATGGAGGACGAAGGCATCTCCGACGTGGAGTCCAGTAGCGCTCAGCCCTCGGAAGGTGGTGATGCAGCCCTCGCCACTGAGGTGCAGAAGGATCTGATGGCCGAGGCCGAGGCGGAGGAATTCGAGCGGACCGCGGAAGATGAGGAGTTGGCCCTCGCCGTCCAGATTGCTGAGGAGGAAGAGGAGAAGGAGAGGGCGAAGGTCACTGTGGCCGTCCTTCCCCCTCGGGGTGCTGGTGAGGCCAGTACCTCCCAGCCGCTGAATGCATTTCCCATCCGGGTGGCCCCCGGGAAGAAGAAGAGGAAGACGAAGGCTGGCCCCCAGAAGAAAGTAAGGGCCTTCGATCAAGGGGGGCCAGTAGATCTGCCGGAGGGTTAGTCCTTCCTGGACACCGCCGTTCTGGAGATTAAGTCGCAAGCTGACAGGGCGGATATCTACATCACCCAGTTGCACGTAGGACCTTCGGCCGTAGTAGTCGAGCCGGGTCCTGATGACGTGCTGTCGCGGCCCCCCGAGGGATGTATAGCCGTGCACGTGCTCTCGGTCTCAATGGGCCTCCGGTTCCCTCTCCATCCGTTCCTCCGGGAGTACCTGAGGTACACCGGCCTGGTTCCCTGCCAATTGACCCCCAATAGCCACTCGTACATAACTGGGTTCGTGAACCTGTGCAAACTCCGGGGGGTTACACCGAGCTTGGAGCTATTCTTCCAAAGCTTCAACCTATGTCGGGGGGGCCATACCAATGCCGAGGGCTATGCGAACTTACAGCAGATAGCCCAGTTCAAATTGTTCACCGAGGCCCCTTCTTCCAACAAGGGGTGGAGAGAGCGATGGTGCTACCTCAGACTGGCCGACAGCCCTTTCCCGAGGGAGTTGCGGAATTGCTTTCGGCGTCATGTGAAGGTCAAGAGCGCCGCCCTCGAGAAGGATGGCCTGAAGATTGCCGAGATTCCGGAGGGGCGGGATAAGAACATAACCATCAAGGAGTGCATCCTCGAGAAAGACCTGTACGCCCTCGGATTCCTGAGGTATCGGTTCATTGGGGAGACCGAGGAGAAGTATCCCCTCTATGATAAAGCCTTCGTGGGAGCAGGAGGTAGTGGCCGGGGGCTTTACATTTTTGTACTTTGAGATTTTCTGTAATGTTTGCTGTCGTGTCTCGGACCCCTCGGTGCTAACCTTTTAACTTGTTGTTTCTTTGCAGGTAGCAGGATGAATGCCAACGCCCTGTTCGCGAAGAGGAAAGGCAAGACCCAGCCGAAGGAGAAGGGGCCCTCGGGCCAGAAGCCAGCCGACGCCTTTTTTCCGAAGGTCGTAGAGCCTTCCGCCGGGGACGCCCATGCTGCTGTGGGGACCGGGGGGTCGAAGGCCGAGGCGGCCGCTAAGAAGAAGAGGAGTGACAAGGGGGTGGAGCCCCCCACCAAGAGGCAGAAAGGCGCCGTGGGTGCTGTCGGGGGGGGGGGGGGGGGGGGGGCGGCCCCCCTCATAATTATTGATGACATGCCTGCTGTTGATGGGCCTCTAGCCTCGGTCCCTCCGAAGGATCCGGTGAATCCCCCCGGGAGGAATTACCCCGGGAGATCCGTCAGCTCTCCTTTGCCCCCGGCGCTTCCCTGATGCATGGTACTGCCGAGCCAAGGAGCTTCCTTCGGGGCATCACCTCGAAGATGGACAGGGAAGTCTTCGAGACCTATGATGATGATGCCCTCGAGAACAGGATCCTCCGGTCCTCTCTCACTGTAAGTATCTGCTTCCTTTTCCCTTATCTTATCAGTTTAGTATTATCTTTCCCTGTGGAATAATCTAACTCCTTTGATCGTCGTTTGCAGGCCTGCATAGCCCTCGGGGAACAGGCCCGGAGGCGCGAAGAAAGGCGCCTTCACGAGGCCGCCCAAGATAAGAAGGTGGAGGGGCTGATCCGCAAGAACTCCGAGGCGGTGAAGCATGCTGCACAGTTGGAGGAGGCCCTTCAGGAGGCGAAGGCGGCGGCGGAGAAGGCCAAAGCTGACGGCATAGCCGAGGGCAAGGCGGAGGCCGAGAGGGCTTCTGCCGAGGCGGCGAAAAAAGCTGCCGAAGAAGCCCAAACTGCTAAGGAGAGAGCTGCGGCCGAGGCCCGAGGTGAGGCAGTTGCGGAGTTCCTCGCTGAGGGCTGGAGGGCCGAGGGCCACAAGGAGTGGGTTGCCTCCGTGGTGGCAGCCTCGGTGGACGCTTGGGTAGAAGGCGCGGGGGTTGACTGGTTGAGTGACAGGGGGGACGCCTACTACCAGGGGGGTGAGTTCTTTACCCAGCACCTGATCTACCGGAGGCTTGCCAGGCACTTCGGCGTGTCCCTCGAACAATTTGACCCCTCGGTATATGGCCTCCCTCCGTTGCAACCAGATGTCAGAGTTCCCCTCCCCCCGGGTGAAGAGCGGCCAACAATCTATGATTCTGTGATGATGGGGGGTGACGGGGGTGGAGTCGTCGGGGGTGATGCTGCCGGAGAAGAAGTCTCCTCCAAGGCTGTCGTGGAAGATGCCCCCGGAGACAACGAGGCTGAAGCCGCCGAGAAGATTAGTACTTAGTCAATTTTTGAAAAAGCCTTGTAATGAACATTTGTCACCCCTCGGCTTTGGCCATACTTTGTAATGATTACATTGACTATTTTCTGTTGTAATTGAATGATTGCCTTCGGGCTTTGTGTATATGATATGCTTCCTTTTGATTTGTTCATTGTCGAATGTATGCCTTCGTCTTGCTTGGGATGTATGCCTTCTTTTTTTTGAATGTATGTTTTAGGACTTAGAATATTTTCTGACTGTAGCTTGCCCCCAGAAGCCTTCGTTAGTTGGGCACCCTCTGCTGGATATGCCACCGAGGGTTCAGCAGCAATTAGTACTTAGAAAATTTTTCCAAGTGTAGCAAACCATAGGGCCTTCGGGTGTTTGCAGTAACCCAAATCCTAGGACTTAGAAAAATTTCCTAAGTGTAGATTCCCCCTTGAGAGCCTTCGGGATACGGCGTCCCTTCCTGATGTGTGAATGTTGGACCGAGGGCCCAATGCACAGGACTTGGAGATTTTTTGCAAGTGTAGTATGCCATGTAGCCTTCGGCTACTGTGGAGCCCCAACTGAAATATCGAATAGGCCGGGGGCCAATTCTTTAGGACTTAGAAGATTTTCTTGAGTGTTGATTCCTTGTGAACTGTAGCCCTCGATTGATAGGTAGCCTTCGGCAATTAGGTCCCTCGAGATGAGGGCGAAATATGTAGGACTTAGAAAATCTTCTAAGTGTAGAGTTTCCCTTGGGAGCCTTCGGGAGATGGCATCCCTTCATGATGTATGAGTAGTTGACCGAGGGGGAAAATATGCAGGACTTAGAAAATATTCTAAGTGTAAAATCTCCCTTGGGAGCCTTCGGGAGATGGCATCCCTCCTTGATGTATGGCCTTCGGCTGTCACATTCCTCTAGCTGCAATACTAACTGAGCCGGGGGCCCATCTTTAGGACATAGAAATTTTCTTTGTTTGCAAGTGTTGTTGTATCGCATAGCCTTCGGCTACTGTATTCCCCTTTGTATTGTGGAAGCCTTCGGTGTTTTTGTGACCGGAGGTGACCAGGTAGTGGTCTTTGCCGTTTCCTGATGATATTTGTTTGAGTAGTATCCTTCGGGAAATAGGAGCCTTCAGTTACCGGAGGTGTTCCCGTGGGGAGCCCTCGGTTTGTTGTGATCTGTTGGAGTGTACTCTTTGATTTCTCGCTGAGTCTACTCCCCTTCACCCCCTCTTTTTTTTTTTTTTTGCTTTTTTTTTGGTTGGTGGTGAAGGGAAGGCATCAAGAAACTTGGTTTCTTGGTAAGGCTGGGCCTATTTGGAGACCATCAGAATACACCAATGGCTCTCCTCCCTCGGGTTAACCTTCCGAGTGCCGAGGGGATCGAGGGACGTTTCCTGGGCACAAGATATGGTGGTCCGTAACCTGCCTCCCCTTGGGGGATGGCGCGGAAAGCGCCTCATTTTTGAAAGTCGTCCCCTCGGCGCTAGACATAGTCCGTGGCCTGCCACACCCTTGGGGTGGTGGCGCGGGGAGCGTTTCGGTTTGGAAGTCGAATCCTGGGCATTTCTCATGCCTGTCATACCCTGGGGGTAGTGACGCGGATAGCGTTCCGTTTTTGAAAGTCGAATCCTGGGCATTTCTCATGCCTGTCATACCCTAGGGGTAGTGACGCGGAAAGCGTTTCAAGGAAGGGTTTTCATTTGCACACTAGTTGCAAATGGCCGGGGGCACTACGTGCCGCCGGCACCGATGGTGGCGCCTTCGGTATATGCGTCCTCGTGGGGTACGGCTTTTAGAAACAACACTTGGTGTTAGTTTCGATGTGTAGCCCCCGGTACTTGGTACCGAGGGGTCTTCTGTAGGAACACTTGGTGTTCTCTTTTGTTGTAGTTGATGTAGGCGTCTACCCTCGGTACTTGGTACCGAAGGGTCTTCAAATGAAACACTTGGTGTTTCCCAACAGATGTTTGGAAGTTGATAGGAGAGCATATCCCTGGCACTGGGTGCCGAGGGGTCTTCTTTGGAACATTTTTCTTCGTTTCGATGTTTGATGATGGAGGTGTACCCTCGGCACTTGGTGCCGAAGGGTCTTCTGTAGGAACACTTGGTGTTCTCATCTTTTCTTTTTTGACGTTGAAGGTGGGGATGTACCCTCGGCACTGGGCGTCGAAGGGAAATGAAACACATGGCGTTCCTTGTTGTTGGTGATAGGAGTTCCTTCCCTCGGCACTTGGTACCGAGGGGTCTTGACTGAAAACACGTGGTGTTTTTACTGATGTTGTAGGTGTTGATGGCGTCCGCCCTCGGCACTTGGTGCCGGAGGGGTTTTTGTCTCGTGGTGAGGCCTGGGGCCTGTAGCCAGTATGAGGGCTTGATGTCTTGAATGTATCTTCATTCTTCGAAATTGGAGGCCTTGGGCCCTAGGATAGTACATTCACTAGTTATGAGGGCTTGGCCGCTCTTACATTATTGATAAAATTTAACTAAATTGTGTACATTCCAGTGCCTAGGGACTTCTCTCCCATTGGGGCGTTTGAGCTTGTAGGTCCCGGGTTTGATGATTGCTGCTATGATGTAGGGGCCTTCGAATTTTGGTGCCATTTTTCCTCCCTCGGTTGGTTGGCCGGCTTCCCTCCTCCGGAGGACATAGTCCCCCACTTGAAATTCTCGGGTGCGAACTTTGGCGTCGATGTAGCTTTTAACTTGCCTTCGGTAGTTTTCCGCCCGGATGAAGGCCTGTTCCCGGCGTTCTGAAATGAGGTGGAGGTCGAGGGCCATGTTGCTGTCGTTGACCTCGGGGTCATATTGGATCACCATTCGGGTGGGAAGGGTGACTTCCGTAGGAGCTTTGGCTTCAAAACCGTAGCAGAGGGAGAAGGGTGTTTCACCTGTTGCTCGTCGAGGGGTGGTGCGATAGGCCCAAAGGATGTTGTGGAGTTCTTCCACCCAGCCACCACCCTCGGCCTCCAGCTTCTTTTTGAGGCCCTCGAGCAAGGTCCGGTTGGCGTTCTCTACTTGCCCGTTGCCTTGAGGGTAGGCAACGGAGGAGAAGGTGTGTTTGATGCCCCATGCTTCCAGAAGGGCACAGAAGGGGGCTGCCTCAAATTGTGTCCCATTGTCGGAGATGATCTGCTGGGGGACGCCAAACCTTGTGAGGATGTTCTTGAGGACGAAGTGACGGCACTTTGCCTCTGTGATGCTAGCGAGGGGTTCAGCCTCCACCCACTTGGTAAAGTAGTCGACGGCCACAATGATGTACCTGTTGTTGGAGGTACCCCTCGGCAGAGGGCCCACAAGGTCTATCCCCCATCGAGAAAAAGGGACAGATGTGCTGATGGGGGCATAGTTGACCGCTGGCCTGCCAGGGGCTTTCTGGAAATGTTGACATGCGGTGCACCTCCGGGCAAGGTCAGCACAATCCCTGGCCATGGTTGGCCAGAAGTAGCCCTGGAGAATGAGCCTTCGGGACATGGAGAAGGGTCCCTGGTGAGCTGAGCAAGTGCCACTGTGCACTTCCTCCATTGCGACCTCGGCTTCATCTGGATGAAGGCACCGAAGTAGCGTGCCATTGTAAGATCGTTTGTAGAGCCTCCCATCTTCGATGGTGTAGCTAGGAGCCCTCAGCTTTGCCAGTTTAGCGCGGGATTCATTCTCGGGTAGCTGCCCTGTGGAGATGAAGGTGGTGATATCTGAGATCCAATCCTCCTGACGTTGTTGTATGTTCATAACGGGGCTTGCATGGATGCTTGAGAGGCTGAGTTCCTCGATTTTGGCAATTCTGGAGATGTGCTCGGGGGAGTCTGCCGAGAGCTTAGATAATATATCGGCCTCGGAGTTCTGAGCCCTCGGTATTTGAGTGAGAGAGTGTGCCTCAAATACCTTAAGCAACTCCTTGGCCGCTTCCTTGTACTGTTTCATTCTCCCCTCCTTGGCCTCATATTCTTCGGAGATTTGGCCAACGACCAACTTGGAGTCGCATTTGATGTGGATCTGCCGAGCCCTCATGTTGGCAGCCAGCCGAAGGCCACATAGGAGGGCCTCATATTCGGCCTCATTGTTGGAGACCTTGAAGGAGAAGCGGATTGCATAGTAGGCCCTGAAGCCCTCGGGAGTAATGAGGACTACCCCTCCCCCGCATGCTTTGGTCGCGGAGGAGCCGTCAGTGTAGAGGGTCCACCAGTCTTCCGAGGTGGCCGAGGGCTCCCCGTCCGTGGCTGCTCTTGCGGTACACTCCGTCACAAAGTCCGCCAGGGCTTGGCCCTTGATGGCAGGCCTTGGACGGATGTCAATGTTGTACTGGCTCAAGAAGATAGCCCATTTCACCATGCGGGAGGAGCTGGTGGGGCTCCTCATGAGGGCGCCGAGGGGTTGATGGGTGAGGACCTGAACCGGGTGAGCCTGAAAGTAGTGGCCCAACTTCTTGACAGTCCAAACGATGGCTAACACCGTTTTTTCCACAGGGGAGTACCTGAGCTCGGCCTCCCTTAGGGTCTTGCTAACATAGAAGATGGCATGTTGGATGCCGTCTTCCTCCCGGATGAGCACAGAGCTGATGGCCGCCGGGCTAACCCCAAGGTAGAGGTAGAGGGTCTCCCCTACCTTGGGTTTGGAGAGCACAGGAGGTGAAGATAGATATCTTTTGAGCTCGTCGAAAGCCCCCTGGCATTCTGCAGTCCATAGAAAGCCAGCTGTCTTCCTCATGATCTGGAAGAAGGGTAGCGATTTCTCCTCCGATTTAGATAGAAAGCGGTTGAGGGCTGCCAGGCGGCCCGTCAACCGTTGGACTTCCTTCACATTGCGTGGGGGCTCCATATTGATGATGGCCTGGATCTTCACGGGGTTGGCCTCAATACCCCTTCGGCTCACCATGTAGCCTAAGAATTTGCCCCCTTGGACGCCGAAGGTGCATTTCTTCGGGTTTAGCCGAAGGTTGAATTTTTGCATGATGGCAAAAATTTCCCGGAGGTCGTCAGCATGGTTGGAAGATTGCTTGCTCTTGACGATCATGTCGTCGACATAGGCCTCCATGGTGCGCCCTAGGACGGCTTGAAAGACCCGGGCCACCATCCGGGTGTAAGTGGCCCCTGAGTTCTTTAGGCCGAAGGCCATCACTAGGTAGCAGAAGATGCCCTCGGGAGTCATGAAGGCAGTTTTTTCGGCGTCCTCCTCGTGCATGAATATTTGATGGTACCCTCGGAAGGCATCGAGGAAGGACATGATTTCACACCCCGCGGTCTCATCCACCAATTGATCAATGTTTGGTAGAGGGAATGGA